CCAGTCTGTGCTGGAGAGTAACATCCCCATCACATGATCAAGATCAAGAAGCTTTATTCTACTTTTTCAGAGCATTTTGTTGAACAAAGTATCTTTTTTCCTGAAGCACTAATGCCATACATTATGTTAGACAGTGTACATTAATTAGTGCAAACAAGCTTGACAAGATGGTAGAGACAGTAAAAGTCCTGGAGGATAAATAAGCAAGTGGAAATGTCTTAGACATTGTTTTTCATAAGAGAAAGTTCTGGAAATCAGTCCAGAGCACCATTATCCAAATCTTGATGTTGTCTGGTACAAGGCTTACAACAAACTACAAATAATCTTACAACTGTCTTTCAAAAATAGATTTTATCTCACCACTGCCATGAAATCTACACTTGCTAATTGAAAAACTAACATACAGGTGCTGTAGAGCTCTAGAGCTTTTCCAGAATTACCACAGGCAGTTTCTCTGCTTAAATGCTCCCTTGTCTGGCATCTTAATTTAGGTATACCGATATGTGTAAGAAGGTTTGAAAATGTGCATTTTTTTTTTTAGATAATGGACTTAACAGTGCACCATTAAATGTTTTGCTGTGTTGCTTCTTTTTATACTATGTGTTCACAAACATTGTCTAATAAACATATACGACTTTCATTGGCTGGATTTATATCAAGATGCATTTACACACAGGCAGACCCTATTTACTAATTACGAGACCTCTGGCACAAGTTGGTTTTGCACTTGACTTTATTAAGGGATATCAAACTAATGGAAGCTCAATACATAAGCAAATTTTTTAATATTTGATTTTAAAAAAATTATTTTATTTCTATGCCTCACTTATGCAGTATTTTGGATCAGCCTATCAAAATTTAAATTCACTTAAATATATCTTGCAAATAGAAAAAAGGGGGAAAGTTCACGGCATGTGATGTTTTACAAGGCATCATACTTAAGAAAAAAAGATCTTGTAATCAGATTGGGCCTGAAATCATAGGAACTTTAAAAACTTCATGACACTCACACCAACATGTTAACGACAGCACACACTAAAGCTCGTCACATAACAACTATTTTCAATTTCAAAGATCAATCATTAGCTGCTGCAGTGATTAACAGGGCTGAAAAGAAGGGGGGGTTCCATTGTCATCCTCATTTAACACCCCTTTGGGACTTAAAAGGTTTCAGGAGCGGAAAAGGCTGAAAAAATAAAATAAAACAAACCAAGCAAACAGAGAGATAAGGCCTAGTAAACATGTCACCAGCACATAATTAACCAGGATACCACAACGCGCTTTAAAATCTCAGCCAGTGCTGCAGAGGCACCCCACCACCATCCCCCTTTCTAAACGAGCTCAGAATCTCCTTAATACCCAGATGAATTGTGTGCCAGATACAATAAAACCCCTTCTTTATTAATTCTCCTAACGCCTGCTTCTTTTTAAGTAAGTAGACCTATATTTTTAGGTTGCCATGGAAGCAAGAACATGTTAAAAAAAAAAGAAAAACAAATTGCATGGTAGGAGTATAGAGCTATTCAGCATGACAGTCTTTTCAAATTCCCTTGCCCTAGTAGCTTCAGACTGACCATCATTTTACTTCATACACATATAATTCAACATTTCAACAATCTGTGCTTCAAGGTTTGGATTACCACACTAGGGAAAACCGTAATGACACAAGTTTGATTATCTGGGCTCTCCTGGTATTTATACACTGAATAATGAGCACCGATCCATGGTCTTCACGAGCAGCAAGTTAACTCTGCCTAATAACTGACATAAATTAAAATGCAATCTGACAAGATAAATGGCAGTTTACAGCTGAATGCTATTGACTATGAGTGGTCTTGCAGAACCTAACAGCCGCCTGCAGTGAAGTATTACTCCAGTGACCTTCATACTTGAACCAGTGGCTCAGAACCACCATTGTCAATAAGAGAGTTCCCTCAGATCAATAGCTGCATGGGAAAAACCATGGCCTGTGTATGACAAAGCAGACTAACAGGGGCAGGGACACCTGAGATGCACAAATATGAACAGCTAAATGAAACTAGACCAATAAAACCACTTTAATTCGAAAATCTGTCTTTTTTTTGTTTGAGTATCATACAAAAGAAATTAACTCCTTTTATACGGGAAACACCTGTTCCTGTGCAGCTTGATAGGATTATTAGCTCCAAGATGGTTAAAAAGAAGATGTCCAGTCCCCCTGTTCTCTCTCAACCATTATGATTACTACATTAGATTACTTTTGGACGTTAATCTGTTTGTTTGCTTTGCCGGTGAATCTAATTGTGCATGAAAAAGGAACTTCTGTCAATGTGTGCATCCATGTTGAGGTTAGCCATCTGAATCTTATATGATTGTGCATAGGTTTTTAGCTTTCCTTTAGGAGTTTCAGTCAAGTAAAATAAGATAAGCATTGATTTTCATGTGATTTGTATTTACTAATAGCTGAAACAAGTCAGAGCTGCCAGAACTGCTGAGTATTGCCATGTAAACATGATTTTTTTAATCACGTTAAAGTGATAAGATCATATTTCATGCATTTTTTTTATTAAATACAGCTCTGTGAAGTATGTTGGTCTTATGTGTGTCATTTAGGTATGCATTGATCCTAATATGCATTACATTTAACTTGAGTGTTTTTCTTTTTTTTTTAAAACAATGTTCCTGGATTTTGCAGAGGTGTAAATTCTGGTTCCTACACAGTTTGCAGCATTTTCTTCAATTTTTAAGACCATCTATTCAGGTATAACTTAAAAAAGGGACAGATGGTGAAAATAACAATGGAGGGATGAATGGACAAACAGAGACGGCTGTTAAAATACATGGACAAGGACAGTTGGATATATGGACAGACAAAAGCGACAAACTGAACCAGGAAAACGGTGAAACAGATGGGCAAGTAAACAATCAGATGGATGAATAAATGGACACAGCAACCAACAGACAGAGAGATGGAAACAGACTGAAGATCAAATAAGAAATTTGTGCATGCTTTGTTAGGTCTATGGATGGATGAACAGATGAGTGGTCTTACATTCATGCTACTCCAAGGACTCGCTTATTTGTCTGTTTCATTCTCACGGTGACACTGAATGTCAACAAAAGAAAAGAAAAGGGAAGAAAAAACATTTACTACCTATTCACCTTTTTCAACCTATTCAACGAAACACACTGGGAGGTCAGGGGTACTTATCTTAAGCATGGGTTCAAGCTTCCTCAGGACCACAATTCAGTCAACAATCAACATTTCAGAAGTGGGGGGGATGCAAGTATTTTATAATATAACTAATTTCAGCGTATTCATCCAATCCAGCGGCCCATCAGATGTCTGTGAGATTCAGCGGTGACAGCTAATCACACAAGAAAATACGGTGGACCAATCAGGAGCTGGTGGGTGGTGTAAACTCAGGGAAGTGGATTTCAGCTTGAGCTGTGGTTTTCCGCTTAGTTCTAGTGCTCGGAACCAAAACAGGACGTTTGAAAAATTAACATGCAGGGAACCAAAACAGACATTAAAAAAAATTATGCCCCCCTGGCAAAAAAAAAAAAAGACGTCAATGCCGCCCGTACAGTCCAGCATCCATCAGAGAGCCATGAGCCATTCAATATTATGAAAGCATGCATTTATTTTTTATTTATTAAATTTTTTTAAAGACAAACCCCCACCAACAAAAAAAAAAAAAAGAAAAAAAAAAAGATGTTTCCCAGTGGTTGGCCAGCAGGTGTGTAGACTCCCTGTGCTCTGGGCCAGACAACATCTAGCAAAACTCTGCGTTCCCCTCTGGCTAGATGATACAAAGATGATAGATGGCTAGATGATACAAAGTCTGTACTTGCTACATCATGTCCAAGGACCCCGAAGCACTTCCAACATTTGGTCATTCACTTACAGTATTTAAAGACACATTCTCACACTGATGGTAGTGAGCTTTACCACTTTATATAGATTCATGTTTCATAGTTTTATGCTGACAGCTATGCAGACACAAAACAGATTGCATGTAATGTTTGTCCATTAAACAGCCTCTGGATCAGCTTCTGATTGCTTAAAGTTGCAGGGCCAGGTGAAAAAGTTCAAATTCTCTAACTATATCAAAAGCTGCTTTATTTACTTACGCAGAAAACGCAGAGCCGGCTTTAAGAAACACAGTGAGTTGTCTTGAAGCCCCTCGAAGCTCATCTACCACCTTGCATGTAAACCAGATGCACTTAACGTTCGGTTTGAAAGTGGCATAATTCTAAGAGGCCGAGGATTACAATTACCACAAAGTTTCTCTACACATAGTCACTGTAAATGTCTTATTTTCTTCCTGTGAAATGATACAAATATCTACTTTACATGTTTTTAACAAATGCCAATACTTAATAACATTATTATTATATAATATATAATATAATATAATATAGTTTCTATGTGACCTATCAACACAAAGTACTGCAGAAATGTGAGGTGAAACTGAAAATATGTTTTTATCAAATTCTTTTTACAAGTTGATCTTTTAAAACTGTGGCATATTTATCCAAGTGACAGAGATTTGGAAAAAAAACATGTTACTATTTCTACAGACTTTTTCATATACCAGATGAAATCCTATACAACTGTTATTTTTTAATAGATCAGTCTCAACCAGACTGGGCGGACAGTGCTCGTAAACAACAATTTCTAAGCCTCTGCTACAGACAGTCTAATATCTCCTGTAGGCTGTAACAATTTCTCTCAAAGGACAGTCTTGTATTGAGCTTTGCCATCTTCTCGTCAACTTAGAGCAGCTTTTCTGTCACTGCTAAAGGAAAACATTCGCACAAAATGAGCCCACAACCAACACATTGATCAATCAGCCCTGTGTATTTAGGGTGTTAGTTCTGCCACACGGCATTTTGCATGTAAAAAAAAAAACAAAAAAAAACATGCATTGGTTTTGTTGCACTGGTTCCAATGTAGCAAATTGTAAATACATATATTAACATCTGTAGGACAATATAAATGAAGGGAATATACTTACGAATGTTGTCAGTGTTCTCCTGCACAATGTCTGTCTTCAGCATGTTGTCAGCCAAGACAAAAGCTCCCTGCTCTACAGTGTCCAGCAGCATGGTTGCAGCTCTCAGCTGCTCGCCGGTGCTTAACTCCCTCCAAGCCGCCTGGGCCTGTGGCTGCAGCAAATTGTTGACCGTCTCCACCATGGCCTGGGGAATCCGAATGATTGATTTAGTAAGAAAAATAAAAAGAGAGACTGCTACTTCTTGACATGGTGATTTGGTAAATTGCACAATTTAAGGAGAAGGAGTTCAGCAGTGAAAAACAAATCCTACAATCCTATCGGGATGGTGCAGGATGAATGGTTGATCATCTTTATTTCATTTGAAAAGAAAACATCTGATTTATTCACAAAGTATGAGTAAAAGGGTTAAATGTCCATCTAGTGGCTGCAACACCTGAATCTGTAATGGCACTGAATGTGTTATCTTGTTTTTGTGGCCATTTACTTTCATCTGCAAGAGGAATTAATCATGTAAATGAATCAGAGCCAATGCTTACAAGACCAGAGGCCAGTTCTTGCATGACTGGAGGCTAAAGTCTTTAATTGGTGTGATGAATGATCTTCCACCGTGCACAGAACCTAACTACACAAACACGCTGAAATAAATAAATTAAAACAACAACAAGTCAAACAGTGGGTGTAAAAAAGAAATGTTTACTTATAACAACTATCTGCGATCATTTAGTACAGGTCTTCCCTGCATAATAATAACATCACTAAAGGACTATTAACGCCTTCTTTAATCTGCCCACAACATGGTGAAGCAAGTAAGTACAGAGGGAAGAGGAAAAGAGTGAACATCCCCAAGACAAGATGAAAAATTAAGAGCCATTAAAGATTTAAAAATGCCAATGGCAAGATTTATGAATGGAATACTAATTGGTCAAGCAGAGCAATTCATTCCTGGTACCAACATTCAAAAGACCCAACCATTTCTTTGTGGCCACTGGAAATTAAGATATGTTAAGATTTTTACGGTAGAGCTTGTAGGCTGCTACTGATGGCAAGATTTCCCTTCAAGAAAATGACAAAAAACTACTTACAAAACAGCATTCTATATTTACCCAAGTCGTTTTATGAACTTGTATCTAAATGATGCATAAATCATTCGGGTAAAAAGGAAAACCAACCTTCCTATCTTGCTCAATCACTGTATTGTGTTTGCTTTTTGTAAGATTAAGTAGTGTAACATGGTACTGTAGCTAGATATTTATGTGTGATTTGAGTACAGGATAACTTCATACTTATTCAAAGAGAATTTTTAATCATGTACTGCATAAATAATAATAAGAACAAATCTGAGTCAATAGGGAGTAAATAAAATAACTGGTTTGGGTAAGAGCAGGTTTGAAAGAAGAAAACTAGGATCAGTGGCAAAATTTCCGAACGAATACACAAATGTTCTGAAATCATATTCAATTTAATTCAGTTTATTTATATAGCGCCAAATTCAGAACACGTCATCTCAAGGCACTTTACAGTTCAACCAGATCATACAGTCAAATTGATACAAAGTTTTCTATCTAAGGAAAACCAGTTGATTGCATTGACTCTTCGACTCAAATACAATCCCTCACACTAAGCATGCTTGTAGCGACAGTGGAGAGGAAAAACTCCCTTTTAACAGGAAGAAACCTCCAGCAGAACCAGGCTCAGTGTGAGCGGCCATCTGCCAAGGCTGACTGGGGTACAAGGAGACGGAAGCAGAGATACAAAAAGCAGCTGTAAAAGGCGGCCCAGTCCAGGAAACACACAGCCAGGCAGACGAGCTCCAAGCCAGCTCCCATGCCAGAGGACGAAGAGAGCACATCCACCCAGTCACAGGACCACATATGTCACTGTCTATAAAAGTAATATAAGCTGTAAGTAATCATGTATTTTTTTAAACATTTTGTTAAAATCACTGTGTAACAACTGGTTAATCTACAGTATTGCATGGTTGGTTTAATGATATAGTCTGAAAAGAATTTATTCTACATTTTTCCACATTGTACATGAGTAGTGATTTTAGAGCCATGGTTTGTAAGAATCTAATGAATTTCCCTAAATTATGGCTTTGGTTACAAAAAAGATTACCCTGCTAACGCTGCAGCATTATGGTGGTTCAACCAATGCAGTGTTCTTCTCATTTTACTTTTCTTTGTACCTTTGAATAATGTTTTAGTGCACTACACAGTTGAGAAAATGCGCCATTCAACTCTGAACCTCATTCTAAAATGATTAAATCACTGTATATTGCTTAGACCAATTTAGCAAAGATGAAAGGACCAGATTACATCACAGGTTTTGTCTGGATGTCACCTAAAAAACATAGGTAGTTAAATAATTATATAAAAAAATAAGACTGTCTGTGTCCAAACGTCCACCCTAATCCCTAACCCCTCAATCACTGTAGAAAACAGGGACTAGCATAGGGGACTTTGCCCAAATGTCAAAATGTGACGAGTTAGGGAGTGAGAATATGTTGGTTCGTTAAGTGACCATGGATGCACACCACTTTTCAATTAATTATCCATTAGACATCCGGACACTCATATAAAACAGTGTAATCTCTTTATAGTGCTCTATAGAGGGACATTAAGACACAGTCTTCGACTAAAATACATAAGGTGGAAAAAGATTACACCAGCTTGCAACATGTCTCCATTTTACCAAAAGGTTAATAGGTGAAATGATATATAGCAGTAACCTTATAGAGCCATGTTTTAGGTGGGGTTCAAAACAGTGTGAGTGCAGGTGAGACAGTAAATGGATAGTGTTTTTAAATTTCTGATCCACCAGCTCGAGTTTCAACATTCAAAGCATGTTAGAAACACACTAAACCCCCAAAAGTCACACTCACAAAAAACATGCACAATAAAAGTCTGATGCAAGTCTGATCTCACACCACTGCGGCTGCTAGTCTGCAAGAACATACAAAAAGTAGCAGACAGTTCACTGGAAAACCTACTCCACATGCACAGGGAGTCTACCATCTTTGATGTAATTATTCAGTATCAGCACCCAATCTCCAATCACACCTTTTGACATTCAGCTAGAAGCAGAGGTTGATTCGCTCTCAATTAAGGAGTTCTTTTTCTTGAGGCACCGACCACCCCCCCTTCCTTTGTTCACAACTTTAAGGTTTTCTCTCTTAAGCTCTTACAAAACTAGAAATAATGGATCTTCACAGGGTGAGGACTGATGGACTTGCAAAGGAGCACCATGGCACATATGGAGGAGATGTATAAAAAGGAGGAAATGGGGAAAGAGTGAATAACCTTAGAGGACAAAGAAGTTCAGGAAATGTATCAGGAGGGAACTTATGGTGAATTAACACAAAGAATTATGTTCATTATTTTTCTTTAGGATTGTTTTGTAGATATGTTACATTTATGTAACTCATTTAGTTAGGTTAGAGCCTTATTCCAAATGGTAATTAATTGGTTTCTGTCATCAAAATTCTACACATAATACTCAAATAATCACAATGCAAAAACCTTTTTTTAAAGAATCTAACAATTTTTTTTACAAATTGAAATCAAAGAAATCACAGTTACATGAACAGTACCATTCTTTGACAAGAAGCTTAAAATTAAGCAAAGGTGCACATATCATCTTTCATTGACTGGGTTTTACTGGTAATGGCAAACACCTTCCTATTTAAGGTACCATAGTGTACAGTGCATGACAGGGCACAAACACCATGCAGAAAGTCAAAGTGATTGTCCGTAGACCCCCATGACAGGTTTGTTTTGAAGCACAAATGTGATGTGGGGATAAACACAGAAACATTTCTGCTGCTTTGAATTTCCTAGTGACCAAAAGGGCCTCAGAAATTGAATACAATTGTAATCGCCAATACTTGGAGCTAAAATACATAAAGTTGGCCCACCTTCTAAATTGAGTGATCAGGTGAGAAGGAACATAGTCAACACTGTGACCAAGGACTCTATGGTCACTCTGTCAGGGCATCAGTGTTCCTTTGTGAAGAGAACCATCCAGAAAAGCCATCGTTGCTACAATCCACCATTTGGGACTGCATGGTATTTCCAACTGTCCTGTTTAATGGAAACTAAGCAGCGCTCATCACCAGGCCAAAATCATCCCTACACAGAGACATAGTGGTAGCTACGTCTTTCTATGAGGGTGTTTATTTAGGAACACGAACTGCTAGACTAGACAAAATAGAGGAAAAGATGACAGATACAGAGACATTCAGGATGAAGACCTGTTCCAGAGCACTCTTGACCTCAGATTGTAATGATGGTTGATTTTTCGGCAGAACAACCCAGGGCACACAGCCAGCATATCAAAGTGGCTACAGTCCAGAGCATCTGCTGTCCAACCTTGAGACTGATATGTACTACAAAAATTATTGGCCAAACTGTCTAAATATAGGTATAGTAAACTGTGGCATCATATTCAAAATGAATTGGTGCTGTAATTGCAGAAATAATAAAATTAATCTAATACCTTAGGCTTTTTGTAATATAACCGATTAACAAGAAATTTGGTCTGAATACAGGTAGGTCCAGTTCCCTAAAGTTCCCCAAAGTTTTAATGATTAAATACATTCCAATTTGGTCTTAAATGTAACACCATGATAAATTAATTTTCTAATACCAGGTAGAAAAACATTACAGTGGCACAGATTATTCCTTTGTATTTCTAGTATGCACAAATATACATTTCAATGCAAACTGAATCTGAGGAAAGGAATCCTAAACTGTTTGCCACAACACCTTCCCAATGGAAGAACTATTTCAGAATTTTTGTGGGATTAATGTTTCTTTCTTGTTTATATGTATAAATGTGTAATGACACAGGTAAAACAAAAGAAGATCTCACACTTTTTCCATGAAAAATACAGTATCTACATTCTTCATTATTTCTTAGTGGTTTATTTACTACTACAGCATTTTGCAAGCAGTGTTAAAGCACTACTAAAACTAACCACTAAAAGCAGCTGTTTAAGTGCATTGCAATCAATAGTCAAAGCCTGCCCACCTTCAGACTTACGAGAAGAGACGCTACAAGTATCTTCAAGGTAAAATCTTGCTAACATAATCACCTTGAGGGGGTGAGTACGCTTTGTTCTCTAATGACAAGAAAAAGAAACCCACTTCTAAGTAGAAAGATTTTCCTTGCAAATTAGTGCTTTGT